AAAGAAATTTTTATGAAAAAGAAAACTTTAAACTTTACTTGTGCATAAATCTTGAATGCACAGCTTGATAAATTTTACTTTCCTTTTTTTTTTTTTTGAGACAGTGTGTCATTCTGTCACCCAGGCTGGAGCACAGTGGTGCCATCTGAGCTCACTGCAACCTCTGCCACCTGGGTTCAAGAAATTCTCCTACCTCAGCTTTACGAGTAGGTGGGATTCAGGTATCCACCACTACGTTTGGCTAAGTTTTGTATTTTTAGTAGAGATGGCATTTCACCATGTTAACCAGGCTAGTCTTGAACTCCTCACCTAAAGTGACCCGCCCGCCTCAGCCTCCCAAAATGCTGGGATTACAAGCGTGAGCCACCAACCCCGGCCTCAATGAATGTTTATACATACAGTCACCCCTCAGTATCCTCAAGAATTGATTCCAGGTTCCACACAGATACCAACATCCATAGATGTTCAAGTCCTTTATGTAAAATAGTGTAATAACTGCATATACCCTGTGCACATCCTCCCAAATAGCATAAATCATCTCTAGATTACTTATAATACTTAATACAATGTAAATGCTATATGAACAGTAATCCTGTATTATTTTCATTATTTTTTATTTTTGTATTGTTTATTTTTTTCTGAATATTTTCTATTAATGACTGGTTGAATCCCCAGATCCAAAACCCACTGATATGGAGAGCCAACTGTATATATATCCATGTAACTACCACCTAGATGAAGATACAGACCTAAAGTGAGATTTGAAAAGTTTTATTGAAAAAGAAAAAAGCCAAGAGATTAAGTACTACTGCTCCTCTAAACCAAAGGGCTTTTATCTACTTAAATTTTATTTTCATACCTCAAATTCATCTTGAGTACTCTGAACATTGCACCATCTGGCAACAGGTTCAGGAACCACTTCCCAATCTTCACACACTTGTTTAAGGATATTCACAAATGTTGACTTCCCTGCAGCTGTTGTGAGGAAAGATAAAATTGAGGAAGAAAAGTTGTCAGGAAAAAAAGATGTTAAATAGTCATTAGCTTTTGCAAGATTTACAATAGTGAGCAACACAAAAAACCCAAAACATTCAATTTTCTCAACTTTATATTTCTTTAAAAGAAAATTAAAAGGCCCCCCTGCCCAATTTCATTAAGCACATTTGTTTTTTATTATGTTTAGTTTAACAATACATTATATTTAGTAGTAGGGACAGTCTTGACCTAGAAGTAATACTCCTAATGGCCACCACACCCTTTATATCTGAAGTCACCAAATGTGGTTGTATCAGACATCTCTGGTTAGCATAATGTTCTCTCTCTTTCCCTGTGTGCATGCACACACACACACACAGATGAACATATAAATAACTTCATATACTTATAAGCAAAGCTTCCTCTTCCTTATAAATTAGATCCATGGAGAGTAGAAAGAACTTACCTTTGGCTTGCAGAACTATATTTAAATCTAGGACATTAGACAGGGCAATAGAAAGGAAGAAAAACCTGTAAGAACTCTAAAGAATCATACACAGAGAAAAAAAAGGAGTGAGGCAGTAAATAAGAAGGTGACACAGAGAGACAGTTCAGAAGAAAAACACAAAGTAAATTGGACCCAGAGGAGAGGAGAAAAACGTTTAAAGATAAACTGGATGACAATTAGATTTAATCATGGGAAAAACACTGGCCACCAAAATTTAGTATGGAGAGCATAAGCTTAGGGACTGTATGGCATTTAGAAGAATGTTAAGTGGAAGTGGAAGCATATAGAAAGAACACCTCACATTCACTAAGCTAGATGGAAGAGGGAAAGGAGAACATGATATTCAGAAAGAGCACTCAAGGAACAAATCAAAAAATTAGGCATCCACCAGAGTCGGAAAGCACTTAAGGCTAGAGCATTCAACTTTCTTCTGACACTGCTTACAAGCAGAAAAATTCATGTGGTCATACTTAAAAAGTCTAAGAGTAAAAACGGTTACATTTAGTTCAACCAGAGTAATAACAGTTAGCTAGAGCTGCCAATCAGACTAACATGTCTAGTTCCTTAACTTTTTGGGGGGAAGTGGGAGCTAGAAAATAAGCTAATTATTAAATTAATTTTCTATGAAGGCAAAGGAGAAAAAGAACCAAAGACACTGATATTAATACTTTTAAAAGTCATGGAAACTAACAGAATTCCTAATGCCAAGCAGGCGTTATAATGCTGAAAGTCATTCTGAACAGACTACTAAAATGAGAAGCAGGTAAGTCCTCCATCCATCTAACATAAGGGAACATTTGAATACACAGAACATAAGAAGATGGGTTATATAAATATAAAACTAAAACGACCAAGTTCAAATTCTAGGAAGAATAGAGGAATTGCAAAATAGTTTACGCACAGCTTAACAATTTGTGCATTTATTGCTTATTTGGATCTGACAAATAAGGTGAAGAGGACATGAACAAAAGTGCAAGACCAATAATAAACAGTAACTAACAAAGTCTCAGTGTCAGGGAGACGAAAAATAGCAAGGAACATGCTCCATCTAAACACCAATTGCTGTCATACAGAAATGCAGGCCTGGTGTTAACAGATCTTCAGATTTTTCAAAAGCCAATAATTTAACTGTTTATGGGAAATCTCAAAATGTTTTCAAGTTAGCAACAAATTTAATTTATTTTTCTTTAGACACAGGGTCTCACTCTGTAGCCCAGGCTGTAGGGCAGTGGCACAACCACAGCTTGTGGCAGCCTCAAACTATAG